AATCAACAACGTTTTACTATTATTTGACGATCATCATTTTCATACAAAACGCTCAAAACTTATATACTATGCTCGTGACAATAATCTGTTTTTACTCTCATTACTACCACATACATTTCATAAGCTTTTACACCACTACCAAATACATCTCATAAGGTTTAACCATTGAACAGTTTTAAAGAAGATGAATACAAACAGAAAATGTTGTAGTACTTTTTAACAAAACATTTCTAAAAGCTACCATGGAAAATATAAAAAGATATTAAAATAATAATAATAATGAAAAAATGCTTGATTCAAAAAGATATAAACAATGACAAGGAATAGTTTTGTTCAGTTTGTTAAGGAAACACAACTTGGTGTGTATGTACTCTTCGGATACACTAAGACTGCATTTTAAGGGTACACTAAGACTGTACTTAAATAATATTTACTTTTATATGAATAAATTTTATTTTATTTAAATATTTTAAAATGAAATGAAAACATAAAACTTTGTATTTGATTTTTTAATTGATATTATTTTTACTGTGTTTTACTGTGATTTACTGTGATTTTATGTTTTATTGTGTTTTTTGTTTTAAATAAAAAATTTTATGCAAATAGATTTAATACTTTATTCAATTAGTTGAAAAACATAAAAATTTGTGTTCGAATTTTTTTTTTTAAATAATATTATGTTTTATTTCCCGTAGCGGTTTTTTTTTTAATTTGATATTTGCTTTTTATGCAGCTAGGTTTGTTGTTTTATTCAATTATTTTGAGTTACATGACGTCATAATAGGATATTCCATTATTAAATGATAACTTTATGTTTTTTGTTAGAGTTCTTTATACTTTTTTAGTCTAATTTATCAAAAAAAAAAATTATTTTGTTTGAAAACTTTTACCGAGCTTGTTTTTTTTTTTTTTTTTTTAATGAATTCTGAATTTTATCGCATTTTGTCTCATGCTCTAAAGATATCATTTTGAAAGAAATTGCGCACTAATCAAACAACCTATTACCCCAAATCTTTAAGAGATCATAGTGAAGCCAGTGGCCGGCAAAATTTTTTGTTGCAAAGCTTGGTTCTTCTCAAGTTATGAACATTCTCTAAAAAAGTGTCTCACTTTGCATCAGCTTACTTTATATTTAAATACCTTTATCTTGAACAGTCTGAAAAGTGAATGTTTTTTTTTTTTTTTTTTTTTTTTCTATATATAAAATTTTTGTAGAATTTAGCGCATGAAAATATTTAACGATCTCTACGAGTCACCGGGCTTTTCTTATAAATTTAACTTTCTTTGTAAATATTTCTGAACTTATTTCAATTTATTTTAAAAGGAGAATTTAAACAATGTTAAATAATGATGAAGAAATATACCTGATTGTGTATTGGTTGTATAAACGACGTCAGCAAAAATTTGTTTATTTGGTTTCTCAACTTAGCTTTATCCGGAAAACTCTTGCAAATAAGGGAAAATTTTCTTTAAAAAAAAAATTGTAAAACAAAAAATAAAAGTATTGTATGCTTATATATTGTGTTCTGTTCTATTAAATATTTCTACTGACAAGTGGAATGTTTAATTTAATAATTGCTTTATTGATAATTGGCATACTTTCTACTTTTAGTTCTTGTCTCTACTTTACGTCCCTCTATTTTTTTTATTTTTTTTTTTTACTGTCCCCCTATTTTTCAAGTAAAATTAAAATATAAAATAGGGCCGCTGATGAATTAAAAACAAATTGATTTAATTGAATATTTTTTATTGATAAATTTAAAATAATTTAAAAAAACAACAACTTATATTTATTTATACAATATTTTTATTAATTATATAATACATATACTATTTATGCAATATATATGACAACTATACAATAACTAAATTTACCATTTTTGATAATTATGCAACATCTTTTTTAAGAACAATTAGAACGTATTTTGAATATCGGCATATAAAAAATTCAATTTTTATCTCACAGTTTATTAATTTTTGTTGATAATTTTTTTTTTTTTTTTTTTTTTGCCAACACCTTTTTTATATATAAACTGTTATTAGAACTTTTTTTTTTGATTTTTAAAAGGTTTGTTATCTGCCTTTCAACTTTTTATTTTTTCTAATATTCCTAATTATTAATTTATATTTCTGTATATTCTTCTATATAATTGATATTTTTATTTTCAGAAACAGAATTGCATGTATATAAAAGTTTGAAAACTTTAAAATTGTTACTTTAAAAAAAAAAAAAAAAAAAAAAACTTTTACTAAATACTTTTACAATACCTCCTAAAAAATTATTTAAATTGTTTTGAATGTTTTCAATTGTAGAAACAACTTTTATAGGGTTTTACTACAAATCTTTTTAAAAGCAAAAAATTTCAGGGGTAACGGAGCAAAATGTACATTGTGTACTCGGTAGAATTGAAGTACTAAGAAGACTGTTACATAAGTTGTTGTTTTTTTATAGTGGTTATCAAAAGAATATGAGTTATGTCTATTTCGTTCCAATGAATTTTCACCACCCTATGATTTTTCAAAAATGGTTATAATTATTAATTTAGAATTTACAAAATTATTGTTAAAATTGTCATATAGGGCAAATATTTGTTAGAAAATATTAATTTTATAAACTTTTGTATAAATACTTGAATTACGTTTTTTTAACGATAACTTCATAGTTTTTTCTAATAATTTTTTTAAATGATTTTTCCCAACAATGTTTTCCAATAATAAACGTTCAGACCGCAAAATGTCTTCATTTTTTTTTTGTAAAAATTCGATAAAAATTTCCAAAATAAATCTGATTGGCGAATCAGTATAATATTTAGTTGGTATACATATTAGACATGCATTTTGAACGTTTTAACGACACTTGTAGTGGTTTTCCTCGTTCTAAGCAATAACCGTTTAATCGAAAAATGGCTGCTATAGTGTCTTCATAATGTAGCATATTTACAAAACCGTATCCTCTACATTTTTTCTCATGATCAGTTATCACACGAACAGAATGAATCGCTCCGTGTTTACTAAACAACTGAAACAAGGTCAAATCATTTGCATCAGATGGTAAATTATAAACAAAAACACACCAACTTGTGACATTTGCCTGAGGCACAAGATTCAGATTATTTGGACCTGATCCATTTAAGGCGTTATTGTATGTCGAATTAGTTCCATTAGTCACATTGTGTACTGTGTTGCCGTTTGATACTCCTGCCAAAACAGCATTTGGAAGCGGTGAATAATACGCTTGAGAAAACCCTTGGTTTTGTAAATAACCTGCATTTGACATATTTTTACTGTGATTAAGGACCTCGATGTATGAGTTCATTTTTTGACTGGGTGGGTTTGCAAATTTTACAGCTAATGGTTTTATTGCGTTAAGAAGATTCGGCACCTTATTGTTTAAAGCTTCAATAGATAATTCTGCCTGACAACGCTTATCAAAGCGAACAAATCCGACTCCGCGACTGATACCGTTTTCATCAACAAGAACTTTGCTAGTTATAATTTCTCCAAAAAACTGAAAAAGTTCTCGTAAACGAATAGCATCACAAGTTTGTGGCAAACCACTAATATATAAGTTTGCATTTTTAATTTCATTTGAACTTGGTCGTGCGTAGCTAACCTGTTAAATAAAATTTAATATAAGTTCAATAACATTGTGCACGTTTTGGATAATAAAGATAGAAAGCGAAACGTAAAACAAAGATTTCGCAAAAAAAAAAGCGTATATTATAAATCTGATCAAGTAAGGTCCAAGAGTAATGCGGACATAAAAGGGGTTAATTTAAAAGGCAAGATTAAACATAAAAGGCAAATATCAAGAGCTGAGAGTAAAGTTGGTATACGTTATGCAAAAAGTAAAAAAGTTTTAATCATTTTACTTTCATTTAAAACTTTAAAATTTATTTTGTAAAAGTTTTATTATGATTATTTGTTAGTTGAAAAGATGGTTGAAGAAAACCTGGTTATTTGTTAGTTGAAAAGATGGTTGAAGAAAATCTGGTTATTTGTTAGTTGAAAAGATGGTTGAAGAAAACCTGGTTATTTGTTAGTTGAAAAGATGGTTGAAGAAAACCTGGTTATTTGTTAGTTGAAAAGATGCTTGAAAAGAACCTGGGTATTTGTTAGTTGAAAAGATGGTTGAAGAAAACCTGGTTATTTGTTAGCAAAAAAAGCTGATTATCTTTTAGTCGTAGAAAAGTTGATTTTTTGTTGTTATAAAGCTTAATTATCTTAAAATAAAAAAAAGCTTCATAAATTTTAGAATCTCTGAACAACCCGACAAAATTAAAACAAATGTTTGGTAACCACATAACAAGCTACACTTAAGTTGTGTAGCTACGGTTGTAATGAAAATATCATCATGGCTTATAAAGACATTGCAGTTAGAGATCGTCCATCAAGTACGTACGGAGAAGGGGTCAGCTAATAACGTAAATGAAATGGGGGGGGGGGGAGAGGGTAGAGGATTAATTATAAAAGTAAGGAGACACTAAATTAAAAAAGTTTCATAAAATATTGGGTAGGTAGGTTAAAAGCGTAGGTACGTTTTGAGAGGTTAAGGGTACTCAAAAAAGCGTATAGCGAAACGCGGGGCGGGAGGAGGGGGCCAAAATAAAAGCGTACGTACTTTATGGACAACCCTTTAAGAGTTTTAATTAAAAATTTTCAAAAAAGTGTTAATATATTATTGCTAATCATAAATTTTCGGATAGTAATTTTAAAAACATGTGCTTTATTTTTGATTCACTGACACCGCTAATTATCAATTAGTAACAATATATTCAATTACTCAATATATAAAAAAATCTTACTTTGATTGTTTTTGTAGTTAATTTCATTCCTTGCAGAGAATGAATAGCTTTCCTTGCGTCATTCGGATGTTGGTAGTTAACAAACGCGTACCCCAAACTGGCTTTTGTCACTTTGTCGCGTATTAGCTTACAACTTTCAAGGGCACCCACTGAGGAAAATAATGTTTTTAGTTCTTCTTCACTCATTTCTTGAGGCAAATAATTTACAATAAGATTGGTTCGCTTGTCATCATCGTGAAACTGAAGTGTATCGAGCTCCTCCTACATAATTAAATTGGGTTAAAATAATTTTACGCAAAAATAATTTTTATATTATTTACAAATGTTTTATTTAAACTTTAACCTATTAAACTATATAATATTTTTATATAATAAATATTCATGTGTTTTTAATCATGCTTAGTACTGTTAGAGAATTGGGCATCATTGAAATTCACCCGGACTAGGTTAAACCCCAAAATGCTTAAATCACACCATAAACTAACTTAAATCAATTAATTATTTAGATGTTTCATATAAATGATGGAGACATGTATTAAAAAAAAAACTCTATTTAGGCATTAAATAATTCTTTGAATTTTTTTTTTAACTTTTTGTTGTTTTAAATGGATTTAAGTACATTTGAACTTTTGCAATAATATCTCTGAAATATTTTTTATTTGTGCTTAGATGCTGTGCAAAGATACATTCAAACCCCTGTAATCTTATAGTCTGACAAGCATAAAAAAAATATTTTTTACCAAGTAAAAAAACAAGACACAAAAAATATAAATTACAAATAATTTTAATTTTAATATTTTATCAAAAATAATTTTAATTCTCAAGATTTTTAATATAAAATTAAACAAAATAATGTTTTTAAATAAAAAAAAAATTAATTAAAATAATTAATCAATCATTAATTAATCCTCTTTGCAATGACGTCGAGAATCTCTTTGCAATGACATCGCGAATCTCTTCGCAATAACATCGCAAATGGCGGAGGTGGTTTTTGACAATGAAAAGGAAAAAATAAGAAAAATGAAGATAAGGAAAATCAAAAATTATTATTTTAAAAAGAGACGTATAAAAAAACAGCAACAAACAATATAAAAACAAGATCAAATAATATAAATAGATAAAATGACTGAGGAGGAAAAAAGCACGGGGAAAAAAAAAGAAACTACTATTAACTAAATACAAATTAAAAAGTTTAAAAATGTTTAAACATAAAAAATAATGATTAAAAAGTTCAACAACATTTTAGTACCAATGAAAAAGAAAGAAAAAGAACATTTCTTTATATTATTTTAAATTATTTTAGTACACTGTTCATACTGTAATGCATTTTTGTGCTTAGTTTACATTGTCCTTAATTTTTGTATTTTCCCGGTGGGAAATCTAGCGAACAGCTACCTATAATCGTAACGATAAAGACAGCGATTTGGCCACGAGGATCGCTAGCTTTTTTAAGTTAGCAAAAAGCTATCGATATTTGTAATGATAAAGACAGACATTTAGCTAAGAAGACAGCTAGCTTAATAAGCTAAAGACTTACAGGCTATTGTAGCTAGCGTCATATCGTAATAATATCGTTGTTTAAAAAATTTTGATATGTAGCTATCAACCAGCTATAGATTTGTAAATATTTTGTAGCTAGCTACAAAGCTACGATATGTAGCTAGCAACACATTGCTATAAAATCGCAATGTTTAAAGTTCAATTATCCTCAAAACTATAATAGACTTAACACTAAAAATCGAATTTTTAAAGATGTTAAAGACATTAGGAAAAAATAAAATAAGAAAAAAAAAATCGCTAGAAAATCGCTATAAAGCTAGCTAGTAGCTCGCTAGTCGCTAGCTCATTTTTCGCCGGGTTGTTTATTTTATGTAATTTTGTGCGCTGTTTGCATTGTTTGTTTGTTGTTCTTTTGTTGTTGTTGTTTTTTGTTATTGTGCTCTTGTGTATTGTTCATTGGGCATTGTAGTGAATAGTTCATATTGTTATATGTTTTAGTGCGTTGTTTGCATTGGTATTTATTTTTTATTTAGTTTAATTTTGCTAACTTTGTATAGTTAGCCATTGTGTTTATGAAAACAGTGCCTTATTATTTTTATTATTATTGTTATTATTGTTACTATTATTATTGTTATTGTTTTGGTTTTTTTATTATTATTGTAGTTTTTATGTTTATTACTATAAATACTATTTTTATTATTATCATTAGTATTTTATTATTATTTTTAATTACATATATAAAGATCTGTATGGTGTTTACTTAAGATTAGTAAAATTACTATATGTAAATATCCATGAAATATTCTTTAGAACATTTAGATATGATTGATTAATATCAATATGTATTATCTTTACACTATTTTAATATAAACAAAAACAGAAAAGCGGAAACTAGGCGGCTTGTTAACAAAAGAAACATAAAAAAAAAGAGAAACTAAGATTATTTATGATATTTAATAACTTAATTCATTGCCAATAGTATGAAGTTATTGTTTAAGTTTTAATTTAAATTTCAAGAGAAATAGTAGTTTGCTATTTGCCATCAGTATAGTTCTCAAGCTGACCACTTCTCTAATGATCATTTTGAGTTGACCATTAGAACAATACATCTGGAGTTTGAAGTAACTTACAGTTTATTGCATTACATTGCATTTATTATTCATACATATGATTTTTAAAGGCAACACTGTATACATCTGAATAAAAATTCATACATGATTATAATAAGTGAACAAAATTATTATTTTTTTATTAGTAGTTTATATTTGTTTAATTATTATTTATCATTTTCTGCTTCTAAAAGTATAGTTGAGGTAATATTTACATATGTTTCTTGTAAAGTTAAGTTGTCCTTAGAAGCTCCCAAGATTTTCTTACGCCTTTTGCTGTTCCATTTTAAGACCGTATTATGGGGCATCCATAAAGTACGTACACATTAAAACTAATGATTTAGCACCCTTTTCCATCTTGTACGCACTGTTACTGTAATGATTTTAATGATCCCCTCTCTTTGCTTATTTATGCACTATATATTACTAAATCCCCCCTGCCTCCCTCTTAAACGCATACATTTCTCTGTTACATAACGTAATATTGATTTTTTTAACTTGTGAAACTAAATGCTTTTGTTAAAAAAAAGAAATCATGTTTTAGGAGAGATAGAGTATTTTTGATTATCTACATTCAATGTAGATAATCAAAAAACTACAAAGTTGTAGATAAAAAAGCAACACTATTTGTAGATATAATGCTACATTAATGTAGATTTTTCCGCGTCTACAAGTAGTGTAGACTTTTTATCTACATAAATGTAGGTGAGTGAAACATCTACATTTATTGTACGCAAAATGGCTACATTTTGTAAATAAAAAGACTACACTATTTTTGAGAGTGTATGTACGTTTTTAGTTAAATTCCCTTCCCCATAACTGCATACGGAGGACCCTTAATAATTTTTTACTACATTTAAAACTTTTTTCAAAATTGAACCTTTATCTTTTTTAAAAAAAATAATTTATTTTTACTTAGTTTGGATTGAATTTTTGAATTTTATTAAATTTTTTGTTTTCATTAAATCTCTCAAGCAAATAACATTTATTTTTGATTATTCTTTATTTGCTGCAAATGTCTGAAGGCTTGTTAATATATGTTTTAAAGATACGCTAAAATAAGTTATGGGCAACTAATAAATACTTGTTAAACGCTGCTCTTTTTAATAAGTTTTTAGTTAAGTTTATTTCTTCAGTATTTTATACCACCAATATGGAAAATATACATATATACTTTTTGAATATTGAACATTATATTAAAGCATAAAGCTTAATTTATATATATATTTTTTTTACTTTTATCTGTATCTATTTATTCTTTATCTTTATTTTACTTTCTTCTTAAACTAACCTGTTACAAAATCAAAAAAAATCAGTAGAAAAACTGCACATGTAAATTTCAAAAGGAAATAGCAGGCTACATTTTTAATCCACAAATTTTTTAATCAGAGATTTCAAGTGAATATTTTTTGAAAAAGCATTATCAATTTGGATAACTGCAAGTGCAATTTAAAAAATTATTAACTTCAAAGATGAAAACGATCTTTCTTCTGTACAATTAGTTGCAGCAGTGTACAAAACAAAATATGTATATACTTTTTAATTTCTGCAAACACAGATTTTGACAAAAGCTAGTAGCTCCTAAAATGTCTTGACCCTTGACAAGTATCTTTTAGCCATGAGTAAAAATCACAGCCTTTGTTTTTGTTTTTTGGCCAAGAGTAAAGATTACGGCCTTTGAACCTACCCTTCATTTCTGAATGAGTAGTTGCTCTTTGTGCTGCCTGTAAAGAGCAAGACTACATTTAGAAAATAGAGAAGACGGATCTGTTTCTGCTGTGTTCATTAAAACAAAAAATATATCTCTTTGGAGATATATACAGAGCCGTCCCGAGGAAGGGGGGCGTCTAGCCCCCTTAAGAATTTTATTAGTCGGCAAATTGGACACTAGAGTCTGCAAAATTGGATTTATAGTTGGCAGTCGGCAAATTTGGGAAAACAAGGACCTTTTTTTTTTAAGATAAGTTAGTGGGCAAAAAATTTTTTTTGGTATTTGTCGGCAAAAAACAGACACGGTACTTCCTTTCCTTTTAAATCTCTTCGGTACGGCCTTGGATATATAGTTTATAAATTTAACTGCTAAATGACATTGTGAAGCTTTGATTCGCATATCATTAAAGCTCAAGAGACTTTCTCGTCAAATGCCTGTAATTTCAATTTGGTGTAACTTGCTCGATAAATACATAATGTTACTCTGTTGTGTGTTATTAGTATACTTGTTAAAATATCTAGATAATATCATACGAAAAAAATATATATTTATTATGTGCTTTATTTCAACTACAAACATTCTAAAACCTGATTGCTTTTTTTAAAAAACACTTATGATAGTTACAGCTTGAGTATTTTGAGTTGTTTGGGGCTATTGCAATACATATAATTTACATTAAAAAGTAACGTTAAAACCGTTAATAAATTATTTAAATTATTTAAATTAAAAAAAGATTACATAGGAAAATGTTTAGGGAATAGAGTAAACTTGGAATGCTCGTGATATTGGAACGCTTTGTTTTCTTTGTTTGTTGCATTTTTTTGAGGAACTTGTTTATTATATTAAAGTTTTACTTACTAATACTGTTGTAATACTCTTACATGGGGTTAAAGGGTAATCATTTTTTAGTTATTTTTTTAAAAGTCAATTTTTGCACCTGTATAGGTTTGGTAAAGTTGTTGACTGTTTGCTTTTAATCAAGAAAAAAGGCTTTACGCAGAATGCGCAGTATAGTTCTGAAGCTGACCACTTTTTTAAAGAATTCCCAGCCGGCACAACTCAGAAAATAGTTACGCTTGGTTTCTGTTGCGTTTTTAAAACCTTCTAAAACAAAAAGAATAACACGTATCCTAAATGGTTTTTATTCCGTGAAATTAACTATTACTATTTACCACAAATACCAGTTAAAGTATTAATGGTTTCACCGTTATGGAAACGTAATTATATTTTAATAACTTTCCGTATGGAATGTGAAACCACTGATAAAAACATGCAACATTTAAATTTGACTTTAAAACCTCAAAAAACACGTGTTAAACTCTAGTAAAACTGCCCGTAATAAACACGTGCTTTTGGTTTATGCCTGGATCGTGAAAAACACGTGCCTATATAGGTTTTATTTCCGAAAAAGAAACTAGATGTGCCGATCGGGTTTCTAACGAATATTACTTGGTTTACAGCCTTAATATAACCAGCTTTTTGAAAGTCAGTTTTCAAGTCTCAACTACCGAGGTAACAAATAGCGACGTTAAATTTAAATTTTAGATAATGTTTTGATATTAGGATCTGCTCCAATATTTTTCGGTTAAATAATGTATATGTTTTTAAGTGACAAAAATGAACTTACAGCAAAAATAATAAACTCATTAAAATTTTTATGATTAATCAGGGTTAGTACCAAAAATTCAAACCCAAAAACCCAGCCAAAAACCCAGTCAAAACCCAAGAGCAAAAACCCAACTTGATGGATTTTTGGACTCAAATTTTAAATTTTTTCATTGGTAAATTAATTTCCATAAACACTTAAGTTTTAATGCAACAAAATGTTCTAATGAAAAATTGTTTTATTTGGAGCAATAATTTTCAAATTTGAAAATTCAAAACAAAGTCATCTAACAATTTAGTCATCAGCAACTGTGCATATTGATCTTAATTGTCTATAAATTCGTACAAGCTTTTCAGCTTTTTCTCTTCCTAAACAATTCCAAATTTTGCTCTAAATAATACCAAAGGAAAAATATTTCAATAGATACAGTTCTAGCTGGACAAGTGTACAACTGCCGTAAAAATCTTGTAAACTTTGCAGGCAATTTATAAGACTTAATCTTTATAAATCACCACCAATTTGTTGCTGATTATGTGCTTTTTTACACTATCATTGAATAAATATGTTGGAAAACAATTAGCATCTTTTATTTTAAATTTATTTTCTAATTTTCTTTCTAAGTAAATAAGTAAAGTTATAAAAGTATTAAACCTAAACAAAAATTTTACATTTGTATTAATTTAAATTTCACATGCAATTTTTTTCAATTTGCAAATCCTTGCCACACGAAAATCCAGTTAATCCTTCTGATTATTTCGTATTGTAGTAACAAATTTATAAATGGAAGTTTGCCATTTCACCGTTGTTGCAGTTGACTGAACTGTTGACAAATGAGAAGAATAAATAAAGCATAAACGCACTTGCTTTTATCTTCTGACTGGTCAGACTTGATGCTGCAGATGTAGATGGGCTCAACTCTAAAACCTATATATAGCTAAATACTTCAGAGGAATCATTAACGTTTCCTTTTCTTTCTTTCTCCTGCATTTACCCAAACGGATCTTAACTCTCGTTATTTTTTTAATTATGCTCTCTTTGCAATAATTAGATATTACTCTAATTGGTTGATCACTTAATATGGTCGCTTCTTTCTACTAACTAGCTTTATTTCTTTCGCCTCAATGATACTTTGGAATGTTGAAGAACCTACATTCTACTTATATTTTAAATAAAACTAAGTTTGTATTCTTTTATTTTAAAAAGATTACCTATATATTAAGAAAAAAATGCAACCTGATTATTTAGCTATTTTATAAGACAATAGACCTGTAAAATAGCTTTACAAATAACTATAAATCAATCAAATTTTGTTGCTAAAGATTTGTACTTAACTTTAGCAAAAACCCTTAAGCACACTCAAAACACAGTAGAATTGGGGTTTTGCTCAAAAACCCGGGTTTTTGCCAATTTTGTAATTAGCGGTCTTTTACAATAAATATTGTTTAGACATGTCAATAATATTATATTGACATGTCTAAACCTTTAAATAATTTTTGAACTGTTTTTTATCAGAAGCTACCTGCATTTACCCTACCGGCACATCTAGTTTCTTTTTCGGAAATAAAACCTATATAGGCACGTGTTTTTCACGATCCAGGCGTAAACCAAAAGCACGTGTATATTACGGGAGTTTAACACGTGTTTTTTGTCAAGTTTAAATGTCGCATGTTTTCATCAGTGGTTTCACATTCCTTACGGAAAGTTATTACAATATAATACTACGTTTTCATAACGGTGAAACCATTAATACTTTAACTGGTATTTATGGTAAAAAGTAATAGTTAATTTCATGGAATAAAAACCATTTTTAATACGTGTTATTCTTTTTGTTTTAAAAGGTTTTAAAAACGCAACAGAAACCAAGCGTAACTATTTTCTGAGTTGTGCCGGCTGGGTTAATGTCTTTTTATAACTTAGGAAAGCAATTATATGACTTATGGATCCAAACTATACAAAGAGTGAAATTTAAAACGAAGAAATGTAAATGTAATGTAAAATGTAAAATAAGTTTTCTGCCAGATGTTTCTCTTCTATTTTTATTTTGCAAAATTTACAAATTACTATGAATGTTTATTTTCATCTATATCAAAATAGTCTATTAGACTTTTAGTTGCTTTGCTTATTGTTAATTTATTTTTTATTTAATTTTGTTTCTAAGTTTAATTGCTAGAATATGGTTAGTAAAATTTGTACTCTTTCCTTTTTTACTATTATGTAAATTAGAATTTTTTTTTCAAATATAATGTTAACGGTAATTTGTACTCTTTGTGGTTTGTAGTTAAAACAAGTAGATACACTTCTAGTCCAAAAGATTTGTATTTTAGAATTAAGTATTAAGTTATTAATTCTTAATTCTAAAATACAATTTTTATTTTATGGTTATAATTATAGCTATAGCAATATTAAACTTTTAAAGCTCTAAGTAACTTTTTATTATCTATTTAAAATAGAAAATAGTGAGTTCAAAATTTTTTAACTCACTAGGGATTTAAAAAGTCTATTTAAATAAGTGTTTCTATATTTCTTCTATATAAAAGCACTCTGCTTTATAATTTTTAAAGTTTTCTAGTGTGAGAGTTTTATAAAAAAAATTTAAAGTACTATTCGTTGCCTGGTAGGACCTTATTAACTTACAAAACCTTTTTGAAACTCAAAGTTCTATTTCACCTGCCTAAAAAAAAATGAAAAATTCTGTTTTTTAATGATGAATGTGATTAGTTTAGCAAAAAAAAAATCACTTTGCATAATTTATGACGTCTCTTCCGTTTTTTATCATCTTTTAGGTTTGTTTTTAAAGTCAAAACGTTTTTCTGCCATGTGCTTTATTTTAAGTTCTTTTTACTTGTTCAAGCAGAAAAAAGCTATTAAATATTTAATGTAAGTTTTTAATTTCAATTTACACGATGTTTGTACAATGTACGTTAAGATAATTATTATAATAAATGTATTGCTCATCAGAGTTAAAGAATATAGCAGATTTTCTCCATAATCTCATTCATTTTGACTTCATTAACCAGCCTTTGTTCTTATTTCAATTCCTTATTATGAAATCCATGTATTATTAATGACGCGATGCAAACAGAAGTTCCAAATATATATACAAAAATAGTAAAATATATCTAAGTTTTTCTTACTAAAACCACAAAGAATATAAAAATTAAATAGTTTATTATCAAAACACCTATAAAAACATATATAAGAAAACATCTATAGAGCATCTAAAGAGAATTAAGTAAGGAGATGGAACTATTTTTTTTTCTTTTCATATTTAAGTGTTTTTTTTTACACATATTTTAACATTAAAAATGTTTAATCTGAAAAAAAAGGTAATATACGTATCTAAGAATGCTGAGATGAAAAATTGTTTAAATGTTTTGCAAGAAAAATAAGTTCAAAAATATATATTAGATATGTTCAATGATGTTGTTAAAGCAAATTTTAGTTTAACCGATACATAACGATAACATTAGACTAGGATAAAGTAGTTTGTTTTACTAATAACTTTCACTAATAAAACAAAAAAAAATCATTAGTTTGTATTATAATCACTAAACATTAATTAGCAAACCAATTAATAATTTTATATATATATATATATATATATATATATATATATATATATATATATATATATAAATATATATATATATATATATATATATATATATATATATATATATATATATATATATATATATATATATTCAATACATATATATAACATATTACCAGAAAACAGTATACAAAAAGAAAATTGATATAGTTAAAAGGCAAACCTGGTTGACCATTAACTGCTGATTTTGATGATTCATCCCATTTAGAACAATGACAGGACCCATACTTATGCAATGCCAAGAAAGAAAAAAAACTTCAGTAATCGTCAAAAAAAAAATAAAGAATTAAAGTTTGAAAATAAACCGTGTGTAAACGACACAAATGCTGTTTAAAAACTCCCAACATGTTAATAGCTCTAAACAAAACAATGCTCTTAAATAAATGATGTTTATATTTCAAAATTTATTGGATGATTTAAAATTCTTTTGTCTTCTTTTTTTTTATTGTTTTTATTTTTTTTTATCTCAAAAAAAAAAAGAGAAGATAAATTTACCTTTTAAATTTACAATTTTTTGTTGTTGCCTAATTTTAGTTTATTTTTTGTTTTTTTGTTTTAGTGTGTTAAATTTTTTTAAATTGCTTAATATTTCTTAAAAATAATATGTTAAACATAAATTCTCTTTGGTTACTTACAACGCCATACTTAAGAAAAAAAAACAGCATGGCTATTTAAAAATGTAATGAAAAATAAGGCTAATGAAATGTGTTATAAATAAATTAAATATTGAGACGTTTTTTAAGGCTTTAGATAAAATGCTTTTACTGGCTACCTGGTTTATTAATTTATTATAAACAATTATTTATCTCTTCATCTTTTTTTGTTTTTTTATTCGTTTTTCGATAAAAATATTTAAAACATCTATAAAAGATAAAATTACAAACGGAGATTTTGCTAAAAACGCAAAACGCGAATACAGTCGAAAAATGTCAGGTCTTGTCAATAATATTTTCTAATAAAACTCTTAATGGTTAAGTAGTTTACAACGAATTTTATAAACATACATTTGAACAGTTTTTTGCCAGACTTATAAAAACCAGGCTTCAAAAACTTCTATTTAAAAAAATGATTGACTATGCAGGGGAATACTGTGGTTGTTATTCTTTGTTGGTTTTTTTTATTATTAATATTATTTTATTTTTATTGCTTTCGTGACACAAAGATTATTTTAAAGGATAATTCACAACGCAGGAAATACTGTTGTATATTCTTTCTTTTTTTTATTTTTATGGAGTATTGCTATTGTTAACTTTTATTACTATTTTAACTTTCTCTTCAAGAATAAGAGATCAGTATAAGAATATGATATAAGAATAACGAATTAAACAAAACGGGTTGCTAAGCTAATAAGATGTTTCCCCAGCCGGCACAATGACGTTGAAATAACGTTGAAACAACGTCGCAAACCGACCATATGCCACGTTGAAACAACGTTGAAATTTGGTTGAATTGGAAATAAAATCCGACGTCGAAAACTACGACGTTGAAACAACGTCGATGATTACGTCGTTTCAACGTTGATCTAACGTCTTATCGACTACATATCAACCATATTTCAACTTTGAATAGGTGATATATTCGATTGATACGTAGTTGATAAGACGTTAATACAACGTTGAAACAACGTAAATTCAACGTTGATTTTTGTTTTTTATTTTGGTTAAATCCAATTAACTAAAAAATTATCTCAACTTTAATTGCAATAAAATAACACAATAAAAAAGCAATAATTTGCGCAGAGGATATTATATTTCACGTAAATTAATCAGATACAACTAAATTGCTTCAACGGACTTTATATACAATGCAAATAAAATAAAATGTTTGAAAAAAAAAAGTTTTATTTATCAGTATTATATTTATCAATTTATCAATAATAACTATTATCAATAGTTCCAGAACAACTAGGAAAAAGTATGAATGTTATACATCGGGTTAATCGCCTTTTACGCGCCGACCACCACCATTTGATCTGTCGAGTGCGTATTTTAATAAATTCATTATTCCTTTTCTTATTTCGGCAACTGTAGCAGTCACTTTAATTGAAAAAACTCTCTCTATAAAAAAGGTATTGCCTGAGTAATTTTCATCAAATACATCAAAAAGTTAAAAATAAAATAGCATTAAAAAAACGAACTGTGATTTTTAAAAATATATAATTTTACACTTAACTTACAAGTAAATACCTAATGTTTGTTCCTTTAAATTTCTCTTTACCTTTACCGTCAGCCATATTAAATTTTGATTATAAATCATTGGTCAACAACCTACATTATACATTGTTATTAATATCATAGTAACAAAAATTGATATACATGTCTTTTACAAAATACAAATTATTCTTAATGAAAAATAGCACAAAGGTTTCTTACCAAAGGTTTCTCACCCAACGCAAAAGGTTTCTTACCAAACCGTAATGCAAGTAAGAAAAAGAATTTATACAGGGGAAGAGTTTGGTCTAAGGAGACCACCTTCTAAACGCAAGAAAACACCAAGAGCGGACAGTATAATCAGATTTATCTGCCTGGAAAACAGAAAAAAAGCCACTAAACTTATTGACTAAGCTTATCCATGAAGCTGTAATTGTTGTGTCAGACCGGACCATTTGTAGAAGGCTAAAAGAAGAGGGATTGATGTCCAGCCTAAAATGTCAAAAAATGACAAAAAATTCAAAAATATTAAAACAAATGTCAAAAATCTTATATTTATGAAAGATTGTGCAACTTGCCACACAATCAAAACTGTTATGGCTTAGTTGATGTATTGCTATGGCCAGACAACTTGCATGATCTTAACCCCATAGAAAACATTTGGGAAATAATAAAGCAAGAGATTGGAAAAAAAAAATCTTACTAATAAGCAAGATTTTATGGAAGAGATTATCAAGATCTGGCATAATAACCCAGAGTTGACAGAAACTATAAAAAATAAATTGCAAGCATGCCACAATGTGTTGAAGCAGATATTGCAATTAAAAGTATTTTTGCAAAATATTTATACTTTGTATATATTTTATATAATTTATCATAATAATCAATAAATATTCAAAATGTTCAATTTTATTTGTTTATTTTTATCAAGTACAACTTTACAAATAAAATATATGTATGTTTATTTATGTACATATATATGTATGTATATATATCGAGTAAAAAAAAAAGGTCAAGTATGCATTAAAAATCAACCTTTGTACTTTAAGGTTGTTCTTTAGCTCAAGGAAATACAAAAGTAAGAGAAAACAGTTTAAAAAAAAATTCTAATCAGACATAAAAAAAAAGATTTATTTTATGTCTGATTAAAATTTGTCAAACTTTTAAAAATATATGCTAGATATATTTTTGACACAAGTTTAAAACAAACTATAATAAAAAGACTCAAAATTTTTTTTATTTAAAACTACTTTTAACAAACCTTTGCATCACATTTTTTGTATTTGTCTTAATGGTTTTATCTCCAATTTTAGAAAGTTAGTTAACCTAAAGGTTTAAGAAAATAATTACACCACATTATTTTTATAGTACATTTATAAAAAGTTACAAGTAGATTAACTTAGGCTAAGTTATTGTTAAATACTTAAAAAACAATAAAAAAAACTGCAAAAAGTTATGGTCTGAAACAACCCATCCCTCCAGACCTCACCCAAGAGTCATTTAAACTGTTATCATAATCACTGAATTACTGCTGCAAGTTCATCAATAGAATTTCAAAACTATTTGTCATGATATTACTTTAATTACTGGAAAGAGTTTTTACTAACAAAACATTTATAAAATAAAACATTATTCATAAATTAAATTAAATGTATTAATTTAGCAATCAATCAAAAGTGTAAATCACTGAAGCATAGAAAAAAATGTTCAAAATCTTTTCTTCCTAAATCAACTTGCGGACAAACAGTTAATACCTTGAGCTACAGTATGTGGAGTATGCATAAAAATTGTTTTCTGTTTCTTTTTTTGCGTTACAGGAGTAGGTACTTGTTTACTATTCTGTTGGTTATTATGTTTTCTCTTGCATAAGCATGGTAGTGGCTCCTATAAAAATTAATATCAAAATATAACTAATAATACTTGAATTAAGTATCTTTTGAAATAGTTACCATTTTCTGAACCTGATTCTATCTGAGTATCACTAGTAGAGGCAAATTCAAATTTGTTACATAACTCATGATCTAAGAATATTCATTCAATTTAAAAATGTTTTAAATACATTATATAATAAAGAACATATAATAAAGAATATATCTAAACACTGAAAACAACATATACAGAATGAAAGCATGTTAAAAAAACAAGGAAAAAAAGTAATGACTTAAGGTTTATAGAAAAAAAATTACATTATCTCCATGACATTTAATTTTGAGCAGCGTAAATCTGTATTAGTTAGATACGGTTTATGCATTTCATTGAAACAATTTATTACATTTAATGATGATGGCCACAAAAAATTATCAATCGAATTTTCTCTCTTTATTTCTCTGTATTTTCTATCCAAACAGCTCGAATGAACATTTTGCATGCCCTACTATACTTTTTCAACTGGAAAAGTATAGTAGAAAATATAATAGAAAAAATACTTATATATTAAAAATTTGTTCATGTAAAATAGCTAACAGAAAAATACAACTTTAAACTGTACGTTATGATACATTATACAGTTGCTAAAATTTTATGTTGATCCTTCTACCAACCAATATCATGGACTAAAGGAGTATGCACAAATTCTTTTTTATACAACTTTACAAGAAAAATCTTTAAAAAATTAATAAAAATTTTTTAATATAAAAAATATTCGAACTCCTTAAATCACATGGATTGGTAAAAAAACTTGATAAATCATTATTTTGTAAAACATCATCCATTATATATATTTATATTATGTATGTATATATACATATATAGTGTATGTATATATTATATATCGATATTATATATATATATATTATATATATATATATATATATATATATATATATATATATATATATATATATATATATTTGTTTTTTCTATATGTAAATAAAAATATATATATATATATATATTTTTATTTACATATAGAAAAAACAACTTTTCATGGGACTAATAGTTTCATGCCTATACGGCAATCATCAGCCATGTACTATATATATATATATATATATATATATATATATATATATATATATATATATATATATATATATATATATATATATAATTATATATATAGGTTTGTATTAACGGCTGATGATTGCCTTCGGGCATGAAACTTTAAGTCCCGCTAATCAGTTGTTTTTATTCATCTAAATATAATTATATATAGCTCTATTATTCAGTAATATTGAGCACTGTAACACGTACAAGAGACTTCGTATTATTACATCAAAATACATAACCTCTAATATATTCTATATATCGAAATCTATACAAATATATATACATACATAATATATATATATATATATATATATATATAATATATATATATATATATATATATATATATATATATATATGTATGTATATATAAATATGTATATATATATATAGATGTATGTATATATATATATATATATATACATATATATAATATGCATATATAATACATACATACACTATATATATTTATATACATACATAATATGTATGTATATATATATGTATATATATATATA